CGGTTAAACAGAGAGGGCCGCGCCTAAGCGCCAAGACCCCGCGCTTAAGCTCAAGTGATAGTTACTATACGAGTAAAATCGATTTCATGAATTTCGAAGAGGTTTTTGAGGCACCCAGAAAAAAAATCCCTACAAAGAGATTGTGAGTTATAACAAGCCGTACGAACCAAGCTGGATGAGTCAAGACATACAAGCTAAAGTTGATTGAGCCTGAAAGTTGATAATCGCTAATCGACGCCGACAAAACCTCTCATCTGGAAATGAATCAGGAAGATGCCTATGGGTCTTCTTGGGGCAGCTGCAACTTAACAATTAGTTGCTGTGCGACAGCTGCCAAAGGAAGCTGCTGCGTAGAAACTACTGCAGATAAGTTTGTTGTCTGTTTGTTCTTTGTAGTTTGAAAATAACTGTGATATAGCTATTTCTGGGCAAATGACCATTCTACCAATGTATAGTAATGTTGTTTGCAACAAAACTATTCATATCAGATTTTTCAATTCTTTTTCAGTTGATTCCACTTGTTTCTCAACTTCATCCTATCTTACTCTCTATCTTTATTTTTTTAAAAATTTTTAATAATATTTTATCATTCTCCTTGTTGAAGTAGGTTATTGGTCTATTTTCCTTCTCGATCTCCTTGAGACATATGATTAAAATATCATTTTGGTATTCTTATCCTACTTTGCAGATGGACCAACCTCTTTGGTTTTAACTATTGTGTATACTAACATGAAAAAAACTAAACAACATAAACATTTGCCATAAATAAATATTTAACATAGTTCGGAGAAAAATATGAGTGTCACAATAGCCCGACGTATCCAATCTTTACTCTGGTTGATCCAACATCAAGACTTCATTAAAGATAGGTTTGTGCCCATCAAAGTAAGATTTCATTTTATGTTCATTCACTTTAAATATTCTTTCAGTTTTTGAATATTTAATATCCACAACACCATATGGGTAGACTTTCATCATAATAAATAACCACATCCACATGGATTTAAGTTTTCCGGAAAATAATTTCAATCTTGTATTATACAATAAAACTTCTTGTCCAGGTACAAAATCTTTTTTTTAATACCTTCCGATCATGTCATTTATTGATTTTTTTAAAATTTTAGCATTTTCATAAGATTCATTTCTAATCTTCTCGAGATCATTTAATTGCAATAATTGTTTATCACCACCATCTTTCAAATTAAAATTAAATTTCTTAATAGCCCAATAAGCTTTATGCTCCAGTTTCGCTGGTAAGTGACAAGTCTTTTAAAAAATTAATCTATATGGGGGCATTTCTATAGAAGTTTTGTATGCAGTCGTATAGGCCTATAATGCAATACCCAATCTAGCAAACCAGTCAATTTTATTATGATTTACAGTCTTTTTCAAGATTTTTTAAATTTCACGGTTAAATAATTCTGCTAGACCACTGGTCTGAGGAGGATATGCAGTGACAATCCGATGTTTAATACCATATTTTTCAACTAATGTTTCAATTATCTTATTCTTGAAATTACTTTCCCCATTCGTAATGATCACTCTTGACATTCCAAATCTAATAAAAATATTTCTCTTTAAGAATTTTGAAACATTATGAGCATCACAGCGGGGTAAAACAACTGCTTCAATCCATTTTGAAATATAGTCATCTGCGATTAAAATATATAAGTTTTTGAAAGAAGGTATAAATAATCTCATAAAATCCAAACCCCATACATAAAAAAATTTCAACTTCCAATGTAAAATTTAGGGG